GATTTCAAAGACCTTTAATCTGGTGGAGATCTTTTTGTGGTGTGATAATCACAACCGGATATTTTTGGAAAAAATTTAAAATGCTGTTTTCTCAATTTGAAAAAAACGATAATTTCGCAAATTCTTAAAACCTATTCTACTTTTTTAATTTTTGACCTCATATTCAGATTGTGTAGGTTATTTTACATGGCATATGACTATAAAATTCACGACTTTCAACTATTTTGTTTAACATTTTTTTTCCCAGAATGCATATGGTTTTCTAAATTTTCAAATGCAACGCGCAAGTACTTAGAGTTATCATATTCGAATAATATTTTGCACAGCTTATTTTTAGACCAAAATACATCTTTTTGAGCCCGGCAAACTGTATATTTAAAAAAATAGTTAAAATAACGAACGGTCTAATGCACAGTTTCGGCTGAAAACCGAAATAATGCATATATGCACAGTTTCGGTTGAAAACCGCAATAATGCATATTGGAAAAACCGAAATTATGCATATGCACTCTTTCGTTTGAAAACCGAAATAATGCATATGAAAAAAAAACTGAAATAATGCATATATGCACAAAAAATACACAATATTAAGATAAATGGGCAAATCTTGTCAATATGAGAGTATCGTAAAGTTTTGATAAGCACTTGAAATGCTATTAAAATGTCAAAACTTATTACCCAATCCAAAAAGATGTCTCTTTTATCCATTAATAATAACTTTGTTGTTGAGGTTGTGCTAGCGCTTTTACGAAAATGCTTGTTGACGGCAATAAAATCAATAAAAGCGCGATCACATCCTCACCGCATGAGTGTTCGACACCAACTGACGGTATGCAGTTTTATAGTCGATTCAATTTTAGTATTATAAAGTGAATGTGCAGCTTAGAATTCATGTTGATTTTTAATATTTTTTTGCATTTTCTTTATACAAATTGGATGTACAAAAATTTCAGTATGGATGAAAAAGTGCAAAACCTTCAACGAAAAAAGTTCTCAAAAATCTACGCGAATTAAATGTAATCTGGCATCGCTGCAGCAAGTACTTTGTCTCGCCAGTGAAACCGTGTTGATATTTTAAGTACAATTGTACTGTTTTCATTACAATTAATTTTAAAATGTACAAAAGTACAATTTGCCGATTTTAAGTACAATATCATAATCAAAAATACTTTTTGTACCAAATATCTTCTAGCACTTTGATTCTTAATCCGTTTACATTTAAGTAAATAGATACACCTGTATTTCATATTTGCTACAAAACGAAATTATGAATTGTAATTTTGAATGTAAACGTTATTGTGAACAGTAATATTAGTGATGTGCGTTGTGGTGATTACGATTTCTTATCACCGGCGGGTGAAATATCCCTCATCGCTATTTATTTTGAAAAAATCTTTGGAAATGCAATTTACCTGATGCCGATCCTGCAGAAATAGAAGTAATTGAGCTATTCGGGGTTTGATAGTAAAAAAATGTATGTAAATTCCATGCGTTGAAATTAAAAATTTCCCTTGAGGATGTCCATTTTATCGATAGTGATCTAATTGATGTTCATTAATATGAACTGACCTATATAGTGTATTAATGTTTTATCATCATTGTCTTCATCTTTTACAAAATTACACGGTCACCCGGTTTTTTTTTATTTTTTAAATAATTTTATTTTTTTTTTATAAAATTGTAGCTCATTGTCAAACAAAAATAAATCCAAACTGGAAAGATTGAAAAAAATCAACAAAGTTTCATCAAATTTTCACAGTTTTTGTTCAGAATTTGTAGACATGTTTTGGGTTAACATTTTTGTAGCCCATTCATTCTAGTATAATAAGGTGCAAGTTTGAAGTGTCTAAAAAATACCATTGATTTTTTGAATTTTTCTGTTTGCGGTGTTGCGCACTAGGAAATCTAATTAAAAAGCTCAAAATTTTTACGAAAGTGTGTTAATTTTTTTAATGTTGTAAAAAGATATGGCTTTTTTAAGTATAAACTGTATTTTTATAAAAAAAAATACACAATATTAAGATAAATGGTCAAATCTTGTCAATATGAGAGTGTCGTAAAGTTTTGATAAGCACTTGAAATGCTATTAAAATGTCAAAACTTATTACCCAATCCAAAAAGATGTCACTTTTATCCATTAATAATAACTTTGTTGTTGAGGTTGTGCTAGCGCTTTTACGAAAATGCTTGTTGACGGCAATAAAATCAATAAAAGCGCGATCACATCCTCACCGCATGAGTGTTCGACACCAACTGACGGTATGCAGTTTTATAGTCGATTCAATTTTAGTATTATAAAGTGAATGTGCAGCTTAGAATTCATGTTGATTTTTAATATTTTTTTGCATTTTCTTTATACAAATTGGATGTACAAAAATTTCAGTATGGATGAAAAAGTGCAACACCTTCAACGAAAAAAGTTCTCAAAAATCTACGCGAATTAAATGTACTATCCCGATCATTTAAACATCTCGGACTCGCCCACCACTAAAAATGATTATTTAAATCTAAAGTATATATTAAATGATATTTAATAATTGCTTTAGAGACGAAATTTCGACAAATTCGTTTAATGCAGCGTTTTTGCTGCATTTAAAATGCAACATTTAGCGCTTTCGAACATATGTTTTCGAAGAGCGTTCATGCTATCGCATTTAGCAAATGTACATTTACGCGAGTTCGAAATCGTATGCTTTTGACAAACAGCCGTGTTCCAGTCGCTTATTCAGATCCGTATCTATTACGATCAATTCTCACGCAGAAGATAATGTGCAAAAAACCCTACTGAAAAGGAAAAAATTCATTTTAAACCAAAAATTCAATACAAAAACTTGAATTGTTTTAACCATAACCGAACATTTGTTTGTGTATATATTCATTTGTCGGTGCTGTCAATTAAAATTTCCTCACTTAATTAGGAAACAAAACAAACAGATTTGATCACAAATTGATCCAGATTTCTATCAGCATCACATCGATGTTGAATTGGCGTAACTTTTCTTTATCCAAATAATGTAAAATAATAAATGAAAACTCGATCGGCGATCACTGAAACGCAGCTAGCCACTATATACGCGAAAAAGCAATGTTGCCACTTTTTCTCATTAAACCATGTTCGAATCGTGGAAATTTTGGAAGATCACAGGGTTGCTTTTAGCATTTAGATTCTTAATGCAAAAATGGAGTTGCATTTAGTTGCATTTAGGTGACGAATTTTGTATGGATAAATGTACATTTAGAGTAGCATTTAGAGCTAAATGCGCTAAATGTGCTTTTATGCGTAAGCAAAAACAGCCCATAAACAAAAATGTTAAGCGCATATGCAGAATGTGGAAGCGAGATTCTTCTGCTTGCGTTTCTATATTTATATCATTTATCAGTTTAAGCACATACGATTAAATGTAAAAAAAAAAAAATATTTTTAATTGCGGATCCGAAAGATATATTTATTAGTTGCATTGAGTTACGCAAAAATAGTGCCGAAAATCAATCGATTGTGCTGAAGGTGCCGGCTGCTTCTGAAAGGGCCGAAAATGGCACAATGCACACTCATTTTCCATCACTGTCACACATACAATCTCACCACGATTGAGAGAAATAGAGATTGCGCCAATCGCGGTACCGCTAATCCGCTCTTTGTGATTTTGACAGAATCAGCTGTGTGCGTGACGTCATCTTGGTGCAATTGTTGATTATGGGCATACGAAAAAACCAAATAATAATTTTAATATATTTGCGTTAATATTTCTGCGTGGTTTTAAACAATTATTTAGACATTACAAAGCAAAATGAAGTGTGCCGTGGCAAATTTTAATAGTGAAAACAAAAGGAAAGCGTGCGATATAAGTTTTTTTTCGTTTCCTACGGACGCAAATCTGGCGAAAAAGTGGAAGCAGTTATGACGGCGAGGAGATGCATTAAAGACCGAATCGAGCTATGTGTGCATGAAGCACTTTCCTAGTGAAGATATTGAAAATACTATTTTTAGTGCTGGTATGAGGTAATGCACCAGTGGATAAGGTCGCCAGGCGCTAATTCAAGCGGCATCTTACCGCACTGTTACGTACCTTATACAAAA